TATTAATATTATTATTATTATTATTATTATTATTATTGCTATTTAACATAGATAAAATTCAATCAATCAGTAATAAACAATCTCATAATTTTTTCAAGTCTTTACAGTATTTTCTTTAAAAACTAAGAGTGATTTAAATGTTGAAGATTCATCAAAAATTAGAATGATAATTAATAATGTGTTTATATGAAAGATTATAATGATGGTTCTCACATTTCTATTGGTAAAATTTAAATAAAAAGTTAAAGTTATTAGGCAGTGCTTTATAAATTGGAATAGAGTCGGTCAGTTCAAGTTACATAATTTTCTTCACACTTATATTGAATAGATCTATTTATTTCTTATTTTAAATAATTATTACAATATGAGATATTTGCAAGATTATTCTCTAATTTTTATACTTATTATTCTTCCATTATCGCTGATTAATTTTTTTGTGAAATGAGTTAATCAATCTTGCATCCATTAATTACATCAGATTATAAATTTCGTTAGCATCTAAATTTATTTTCTTTAATATTTAATCATAATTATTTTATTCTTATTCTTAAACATTAACTTTAAGTGATTAAATTTAATCGATGATGAATTCTTTAAAATTGTTTTCAAATTATTAATATTATTAAGAAATACTATTTTTATTTCTTATTGTATAATTTTCATAAATTTAGTTATTTTGCTTGAAGAATGGTAGGATTTTTAGAAACATTAGTATGTTATGATGTTTTCATATTTTATTTCAAATATGTTTTTCATAATATCGAAAAGCTAATTGATAAAAATAATTTTTGTATTTGTGATATAATTTATTATAAAATTATCTTCTATAAATAGATTTTCGTTTGTTAAATTAATTTTTAACTATTATTCTTGTTTTGGTGTATTGAGATATTAAATCAATATAATAATATTTTCGATTTTACAAAATTTTTCTTTGTTATGAGTTAATATGTTTAAATAATTGATATTTATCAATGAATTCATATCCATAGTTTTCTATTGTTTCATTTGAATCATTATTAAGTATATTTTAAATAATAACATAATAATTTTAATAAATTCTATATTGAATTTATATGGGAAATCAAATATGTTGGTGCTATAATGATTAAGAAGAGACTTAAGAAATTCAGCCATACTAAAATATAAATATATAACATTAATACAATGATAATGATTTATCATTATAATTAAACCAAAAAAATGTGGATCAAAGTCAAACTTAAAATCAATAGAATACATAATAAAGCACATGTGATTTTTGCATATCTTATTTGAAAACATTGAATATTAAGTTAAAAAAGATAAATTAAAATGATAAAAGTCACCCCATACATTAAGAGAACTTTAAGGAATTACATAAATCTAATGAAGTATTAGCTTTGCTTCACAACGATTCTATTTCTACAATTGTAACTACATGGTTTTAATTGTCAGTGGCTATACCAAAAATTGTGTAAAATAGTTCTAAATATGATGGAATTTTAATTTAAGAGTAATTTCATAAATAGAAGCTCAATTGTGATGATCTTCAAACCTTGATTTGCTTGAAATGGTGTGTTGTAGACTTTTTTTTATTACGATAATAAATTCACCCAGAAAATAACATAATAAAAGAATGTTTTTAAATTTTTTAAAGGATAGTTCATTATTGCATATTTTTCAAAGAATTATTTCTTGAAAATTTTTCATCTGCAAATAATAAATCAAATATTTAGCTTTATATTTAATTCTATGAGCTTTATTAAAAACTGATGAATGGATACTCAAATTTTTATGAATAGATAATTGATGAAATGTAATTGATTTACTAAATATAGTTTGATTATAAAAACGAAGATAATTAATATCCTCATTTTAAGTTGATTGGTTATATGATGCGATTTTGGTGTTAGATTATGCTTTCTGATTAAATTTAAAAGATCTTAGAAGGAAGCTTCGAAATTTTGGATTAATTTAATGATTAAACACTTTTTTATTAGTATGTAAATTATGCNATAAATAGATTTTCGTTTGTTAAATTAATTTTTAACTATTATTCTTGTTTTGGTGTATTGAGATATTAAATCAATATAATAATATTTTCGATTTTACAAAATTTTTCTTTGTTATGAGTTAATATGTTTAAATAATTGATATTTATCAATGAATTCATATCCATAGTTTTCTATTGTTTCATTTGAATCATTATTAAGTATATTTTAAATAATAACATAATAATTTTAATAAATTCTATATTGAATTTATATGGGAAATCAAATATGTTGGTGCTATAATGATTAAGAAGAGACTTAAGAAATTCAGCCATACTAAAATATAAATATATAACATTAATACAATGATAATGATTTATCATTATAATTAAACCAAAAAAATGTGGATCAAAGTCAAACTTAAAATCAATAGAATACATAATAAAGCACATGTGATTTTTGCATATCTTATTTGAAAACATTGAATATTAAGTTAAAAAAGATAAATTAAAATGATAAAAGTCACCCCATACATTAAGAGAACTTTAAGGAATTACATAAATCTAATGAAGTATTAGCTTTGCTTCACAACGATTCTATTTCTACAATTGTAACTACATGGTTTTAATTGTCAGTGGCTATACCAAAAATTGTGTAAAATAGTTCTAAATATGATGGAATTTTAATTTAAGAGTAATTTCATAAATAGAAGCTCAATTGTGATGATCTTCAAACCTTGATTTGCTTGAAATGGTGTGTTGTAGACTTTTTTTTATTACGATAATAAATTCACCCAGAAAATAACATAATAAAAGAATGTTTTTAAATTTTTTAAAGGATAGTTCATTATTGCATATTTTTCAAAGAATTATTTCTTGAAAATTTTTCATCTGCAAATAATAAATCAAATATTTAGCTTTATATTTAATTCTATGAGCTTTATTAAAAACTGATGAATGGATACTCAAATTTTTATGAATAGATAATTGATGAAATGTAATTGATTTACTAAATATAGTTTGATTATAAAAACGAAGATAATTAATATCCTCATTTTAAGTTGATTGGTTATATGATGCGATTTTGGTGTTAGATTATGCTTTCTGATTAAATTTAAAAGATCTTAGAAGGAAGCTTCGAAATTTTGGATTAATTTAATGATTAAACACTTTTTTATTAGTATGTAAATTATGCTTTAGATGTAAATATAAATGAGGATAATGTTCATTGGATAGGACATAGAAAAAATTTTAAATATGAGAAGAAACTATTAATTGATAAACACTGGTTGAATGAAGGGGAATAACTATTATCTTCAAATTAAAATTGTAATGATTCAATGGATAAGTTGTTAATTAATTAAAAAATGTTATATCCCTCATGGTTTTATGAAGTTGAGATTGAATTAAAAGCTATTTAGAATAAGATTAAAAGAATACTAAAGGAATTTGAATAAGAATCTATATAAGAATCTAAATAAGAATCTAAATAAGAATCTCTTAAAACTTCGTTTTTTAATTAAAGTTAAGATATTGAATTAGAAGAATAACTATAATTAGAGAGTGAAAACAAGAGTGACTAAAATGAAAATTCTTTTTAAAAAGATCTTCATCGAACATAATAAGACAATTTAAAATAGTTATTAACGACAAATGTAATTTTAGAAAATTGTGATTCATTAGATTCTACAGAAACACTTGATAGTATCAGATAGAGATTATCTACTGACTCTAAAATATCTACTGATGTTTGTATCATAGGTAATAAATATAAACGAGGAGTTAATATTTAAAAATTGACTGAATTGATTTCTGATTTAATACGAATTAAAAAAAAATTAAAATAAAGAGAGTTTATGTTATTCCAAAGAGCTAAGAAATACAAATTAAAATCGGATCGAAAAATTGAATGGCTTAATTTTTTTGAAAAGACTTAATTTAATAAAATACCAGAAAGCCAAAAATTAAGCTAATATATAAAACTAATTTTAAATAAATTAATGGAGAATGACTACTATAAGAATCAAAAAGAGTACTTTTTATGAAACCTTTTATGAATTTATATAAAATATATTTTGACAAACTTATTAAATTAGTTAGAGTAGAAGAAAGTATATTTTTTTGATATTTGAATATATTATTGAATTTAATAATAATAAATTTTTATTTTTAATTAATTGTCATTAAAAAATGCTTAGTTGGTTCAAAAAAAAGAAGCCTGAGACTAATTAACCATAATAAGAAGAAAAAGATGAGAGTGATTTTGTTGAGGTAAATATTTAATAAATTTAAAGGACGATACTTAAGTTGTTACTAATGAGGATAAAGAATTAGAAGAAAAAGGATTTGATCCTATCGCATAAGTCTAAGAATAGGACAAGGAAAACGAAGGAATAGCTGATCCTGATAAATTGGATTATGTTGGTTATCACGATATACCAGGAGATGAAATGCTTTAATTAGTGCTCAGCTTAAAAAATTTCCCAAATGATGAAGAAATTCGTCATATTGAAGGATATGAAAAGGGAGGAAGAATATGTGCTGATAAAAAAGTAGTAAGCAAGGCAAGAAGTGTAGGAAAAGAAATGGTAAAATAAATAGGAAAGAAAATCTTATCAGGATCGTTGAATCTCACTAAAGTTAGTTTTCCTATTAGAGTTATGATTCCTAAAACTGCATTAGAAACTGCTGTTCATGGAAGTAATAAATATAAGTAAATTATCATAGCTTCCATATTTCCCTTATATATTACAAAGGCAACTATGACACCAGATTTTTTGGAAAGATTTAAATTAGTTATCACAGCAACATTATCTTCATTTTTTTGGACTAACACATTTTTGAAACCTGTATGATTAATATTAATCTAGCTTAATCCAATATTGGGTGAAACTTTATAAGCATCATATAATGATGGAACTTAGGTATATTGTGAATAAATTATGCATCATCCACCTGTAAGTTACTTTTTAGTTTATGGACCAAACAAGAAGTACAAATACTATGGATATTATTTGGTTGAAGGAAGAGCAGGCTTAAATTCGGTGACAGTATAAAACAAAATCTATCTTAGATTATTAACAAAGGAAAGCGATCAATTGAATTTAATGATGGGTAAAAGATTGATTTTGATTTCCCTAATGAACTTTATAGTGGCACTTTTTTTGGCCAACTCAGATAGGAATCTATAAACAAAATTACATTCTAAGATAAAGCCAATGGATTATAGTGTATTATTGATATTGGAAAAGTTAAAAAGAAGTAAATTTAAATTAAGAGTTTAGAACTTCGGATTATTTCTAAGCAGATATTACATGCAAAGGATAAAAGGTTTCAACAGTATTTGGCACATATATAGGATTCATTAATTTTGATAATGTGAGATATTGGGATTATAGATATGTAGTTCCATTCAAAATTAAGATGGATAAATAACCACTTGAAAGCGACCATAAAAATAGGTCTGATTTATAATCTTTAAAAATTGGAGATATTCCTATGGCTTAAAAAAATAAAGAGCTTTTAGAAAATTTATAAAGAAATGATAGAAAACTTAGAGAGTAATACGAAAAATAAAAGAAATCGAAAAAGTGAATTCAAAGTTAGTGTTAAAATATAATAATAAAATTAATTGATCTTTCTAATCTTCAAATTTTAATAATAAGCTATTATTATTAATCTTTAAAGTCAGATCTTTTTTTTTATTTTAACTAATACCTTATAAATGAATTATTATAAATATATTTCAATAAATACTGTTCAAAATACTCCTTCGAATACATCATCAGTTATAGTTTTGACTGATTGTGCTAACCCTGCCACACTAAATCTAGATTCATTAGCAGCCTTTTTCCTTATTAAATTTATTAGATGATGAACATGTAAGATAGATTCATCCTTTATATTAATAGATGAAACAATGAATAACAATAATTCCATAGATCGATCACTCATTTGAACTTTAAAGATCTAGTCTTATACGCCATGATATTCAAGAGTTTTTAATTCTTAATTTGTATAAGATGATCCACAAAAAATATAACCTAGTCTTATTGCTTATTTTAAGATCACTTAGTCCATTTAATTAAGATATATTAAGAATAGCTCAAGAAGCATTTAATGAATTTCCAATAAATTTGTTTATGTTATTTCAGTTATGATTTAATACTATTTTCTTTTTTTTGCATTATGAAAACTATTTTCATATTTGTTTTTCATTACTGGTAAGCTATCTAAAGATAGATGTATTTCATTTTATTAATTAATAAATTCCAAATATTCATTATAGACAGCTAATAATAATACTGATACAATTTCTTCTCCATTCAGTATATTTAATGAGATGAGACTGGGAATAACACTAATAACTAAAACATCAGCTTTATATTATTTCCATTTTTAAGATGACTTTACAATGGTAAATAATACACTATAAAACTATTTATCGTTATCTACTAGCTTCTAAGTTATTAATAAACTAATTCGTTAACTATTCTTCATCAATGATGATATCAATTATCCTTAGGTTCTCAAAAAAATCAATTAAGAAATTTACTTAAATTCCTGCTAATAGCTCTTTTAAATCACCATCTTGAGGTTGATAATTAGTTTCTTGCATTCTTTTAATAATTGCAAAGCTTTTATCTTCTTACATTTGTTTATATAATAATTATTAAAATAATTAATAATTAATTTTCAAACTTTTTCTAAATTATTATTAAACTCAAATGCTATTCCAATAATCCACTTAGATCCTATAATTATAAATTAATTTTCATATTATCACTTTGAATAACTCTCAATTTACATTTAATCAAATATCTGCTTATGTCTTGATAAATGTTAGCATTTTATATCAAGGTATTAACTAAATTTAGTAAATCCATATCGTTCTTATGATATAAATTAAGCAATATAACAAATTCTAAATATCGACATTAAAATACTTAAACCCGAAATATATATTTTTCTAAACTTTTAATTAATTAAATCATAAAAAAAATAATGAATGATTAGAATGACACAAATTAGGGTATGAAAGAGTAAAATATCTAAGAATTAAAGTAGGATCAATAAACGAATTAAAGAAAAAAATTTATTAAAAATGAATAAACTTCATTTGATTATAATAAGGCTATATTAGTTTAAATAAAAACTATTTTTAAAGAAGCCTGGGATAAATTAAGAAATTTTCAATCATTTGCGAAGGTCGATTTATAAGAAGAGGATATGGAGAATAAAGAAGTTATTAATAAAATGATTGAGGAAATTTTAGAATAAATTAATTCTATTCAAAAGAAGCTTACCGAAACTATATTTAAAAATTCTTCTCTTTTTTAAATTTAAAATCCTCCATATGAGTAAATTTAGCATCATTAGGTAGAAGGATAACCAGAAATTATAAAATAATTAGAGCCTAATATATAAGAAAAACAAGAATAAATAACTCCACAATCTTTAGTTAAGGATAAGGATGAGATGAATAAAAATGTTGGTAAGTTAAATTCTTTACAGAAAATTAATAAGTAAGAGGTTTATTAAACTTTAAATGAAAATTAGAAATTCAATCATTCTCAAATTTAAGGTTATTAGTAGGAACATTATAATTTAATATTGAAATACCAGCTTTAATAAAGCATAAAAACCAATATCAATTAATAATTTGAATGTTTATAGAATAAGAGAATCAAAATAAAAGATTTAACAAATCTGTCTAATAGAAATTTGTTTGAATTGTTACTCTCCTAATAATTAGAAAAAATATTTAAACTTAAAATCAAATATAGGTATAAATTTGTAAAAATAGCTTTTGTAATTTTAAATGCTTTGCAAAAAAAGATGATAGAAAATTTGATAATAAAGATCTAAAATCTTATTGTCCAATTTGTGAAGAATTTATAGTATTATGATTACTGAGTAGTGTATTTGTTCTAAATTGCTTTTTACATTTATTTTATTCATTTTTTAATTTCATAAAAAATAAATTTAAAGTATTTCATTAATTTTTTTAATATAACTAACTAAAGTCTTATTAAATTGTAACTAAGTTTTCTTAGAAATCGAATTCTAATTTTCATGAAGTAATCTTCTTTTTATATTTCTCATGTAATAGATTTGTATTTTCTAAGTAGAATTCGATTAATATGTTCATTTAATTTTAAATTGTTGTCAATTCTGAATTCAATTTATTTTAAATATAAATTTGGAACAGTTTTTACCAATAAAAATCTATACCTGAAAATTTTGAATATTAAACCATACTTGATATCAATTCAATTTTTAAGTGATACTCAATAAAAATTCAGTGATTCGTTATTGTAATTTTATTATAATAGGATTAGGTCTAATATTATTTTTAGATCTAATAAATTAATATGTTGAAATATTGGTTAACAGTGATTCCCATAGAAATCATTGATAAAATAGGAATTAATATTCTTTTTTAAGTATAAAATTTAATTATTAATTTATTTAAATTATTTAAATAAAATATCTCTAAACACTTTGAGAATGAAAATTTCTCAGGTTAAGGCTCACAGTGTTGACAATTAACTTATAACTAATGATGAAATATTATACATTACTTATATTAAGTGATGAATGATCCGTTCGCTGATATAAATATATATATATATATTAAAATATTTATTAAATGCCTAAAGACGCTAGAGGAAAAAATAGGAAATGGGGAAATCATAAGGATCGATAATTCCAATAAGTGAATGAGGGTGAATTAATCGAATAATTAAAACATCAGGCAGAGGAAGATTAAGAAGATGATGAGGAAGTTGAATAAGAGGATTAACCTTAAAAAGTTGAATAAAAAGAAGAAGGTTAAGAGGATTAATAATAAGAAAAAAAGAAGAAAAAGAAAAAGTAAATATAATTTTAATGTAATTAGAAGAGTGACTGCTGAAGGAGTACCAAAACCAAAAAAATAAAAGAGAAACCTTGATATGCCAGAATCAGAAGAAGAAGATGAGTCATAATATTATTGAATGTAATATATAAATGATTAATATTAAATAAAATTAATTTGAGGCATAAATATATTCTAATGGAATAAGAATTTTACTGTTTCAAAGAGCATAATTAATGAAAGAAACATAAAATAATTCTAAACTATTATTAAATAAATGTATATATATATATCTGTGAATGAATAATCTATTCATTCGAAAAATACTTCATATGCTCTCATCACTCTTTAATACATTGTCTTATACATGACTTAATCCTCTGAATAGTTTTTTTTTCTTAATTCAAAAAATGCTGTGTAATTCACTAAAGTAGTATCAGTATGTGAAAATACAGAGTCAAGTGTTAATAAAATGAAAAGATCATCAACAAGAACTAACGTTGGAAGAACTTTATGAAGTGAATCTAGATTATTTCTAATTTTCACAATTTCTGGGAAGAGCAATCGTGCTAACCCTAAACTTAGATCATAAAGAACTTTAAAAAAATTCTTATTGCATTCGAAATTAGAACTCATAAATTCTTTATTAACATTCAATTTTTAAAATGCTTTTTCATTCATTTATTAAAATTACTATAATTAATCTTATGATGCACTGTAAACATATTGTTGAGTTATATTTAAATCTTTTTCAAGTGCTTTTTTTATTTTTTCTCTATCTAATCCTTCAGTTAGAAAATTTTCCCAGTCAGTATCATTTACACCTATTGGATTATTAATATCCCAACAACAATAATATTTAAAGTTTTTATTAACTTCCATCCATTCTACTAATCCTCTATTAATAATAAGTTCAAATTTATTTAATCCAAATCTTAGTGATTTAAGATGATCTGAAATATCTACTTTACTTTTCTCAAAGATTAATTTATTAGATAAAGTTAATTCATATTCTTTAACTCTTTAAGATAGTAATCTTAAGAACATACATTTACCTTTTTCAAAAGTAAGTCTGCTTATTAATTTAGAGAAAATTTCTTCATTTTTTCTTTATTTTTCAGCTTAATCAATAACAACATTTGCATTTTCATAAATTCTTTCAATTTCTTATTCTGAATGATCATTCATTTCAAAATCAAAATCATCAATTTTAGCTTCATTAATATCAACAGAATCATCTTATGGTTCATGATATTCAAATATATTTAATCCCATTTCTTTTAATAATTTATTTTAAAATAAAGGACATGCAAATAAATCGTTCCAATCAATTCTATCTTCTTCCCTATATCTCATCATTTATACAATAATTTATTATAAAGGTTAAGAAACTTACATACCAGTTTTTGGAAATTCAATAAAATCTCTTTTCATTAATTCCATTAATTTAATTTCACTTGCATAGAATTCTTTGTATGGATATTTCTTAAAACACATAAAATATAGAGTAGCTCCTAAACTCCAAATGTCACATTTATCAGTATAATCACCTAAATTTATTTTAAACGAATTTACCTAAAATAACTTAAGGTGCAATAGTAGCTCTAGTTCCTAAATAAGAATGTAATTATGTTTTTGAGTTATGTTATTTAGCAAATCCAAAATCAGCTATTTTTAAAACTCCTTTTCGAATTAGTATATTTTCAGGTTTAACATCTCGATGGATAATTTATTTACTCCTAAGATATTTAAATCCATTAAGGATTTCACCAAATTTATATCTGATCTCAGGTTCAGTGATATCTTTATTTTCTTTTATGAATTCAGATAGAGACTAAGATCATTAAGAATTTATTTATACTTTACCTTTTCATTGCAGAGTTCCATAACCATATAAATAACATTCTATAATTTCTTAACATCATAAAGTTTAACTATATTGGGATGTTTAAGTAATTTTAAAGCACAAATCTCTTTACGGACAGCATCCAAAGTCATTTTTTCTCTATCACTCATCAATGCCATATTTTCTGGAAGTTCCATTTTCTTAATGGCACATTCTTTGTCATTTTCTTTATTTTATCTATAAGTAAATAATGCAAAATAATTACGCTTAAAAATTGAATCCACGATAAACTTTTCCAAATGCACCTTCACCAATTACATCATCTGGGTTATAAAAATATTTATCCAATAATATATAGTTTTTTCCATTCAATTCCATGGTCTGTAATTTTTAGGATTTGCTTTTCGATTTCTCATTACCTGATTATTAATTTGACATTTATTTATATTTTTAACAATCAAATGTACGATCACCCCTAAAGTGGTTTAATGGAAGCTCACTCTTTCAACTTGGATTGTCTATCTTAAGATATTCATCAAATCAAACAAACACTCTAAGGTTGGACAACTATTTTCAGTCAATTGATGGAAATCACTATTGAAACCCATAAACAGAATCAATACAATGTAAATACATAGTCTCTATTTATTAAGGCATCATTATTATAATAGTTAATAGCAACTTAACATCGTAGACATAAACATTCTTAACCCAAAGACCAAATAAAATTGTCACCCATAAGACCTCATAAAACAGAACCAGATGAAGTAATTAAGCAAGAAAACTTTTCTAAAATATTTAATAACCCTAAGAAGGTAATCATGTAATTATGCTCTTTTAGATTTCCATTATGCAACTTCAAGGGACTCCATTTGATTCAGCATTTGAAAGTATCAATAAAGAACTTGAAGAACCTTACAGAGAAGACTAGTATCTATCTGTACCAAAATCTATGCAAATGTCAGTTGATTTAAACAAATAGAAGAAGAATCAACAGCTTGAATTACAGTAACCTCAAAGTGCAAAAAATACTTATGAAAACAAACAATTCGCTTTCAATACAAAAGTTATGCGTTCCTAAGATATTAAAGCCAATAAAGAGAATCATCAACATCATTCTTCCATGAATAGACCAGATTCTAAACGAATTCTAGACTAACCTCAATTATCAACGGTTGTTGAAGAAAACTAATCACCCTGTATGAGTCCTTATGAAAATAATTTCAGATGTAACTACTCATTTCTAATATAGATTCTATTGCTTAATCTCATAGATAATATGAATAATGCAGTACTGCTAAAACATCATAAAATAGTTAGAGACCTCTTAATTATTTTCAATAATAACAGCTTTAATCAGAAAATAATAGGTCTTCTTCAAAATCTTGTTATGGTAATTAATAAACTTAAGTCCTTTAAAATAATAACAATCTAATCAATCAACAATAGCAGGCTCCTTAATAAATATCTTCATAGAATCCATTCTTAAACAATCTTAATAATGCTAGCACTAAAAATGTTAAATAAGCCCCAACATCCACTAGTAACATTCCTTTTAAATAGTAATTTGAAATTATGAACCAAGTAAGTTATATTAAATAATTAGATTTCAAATTAAAGAGCTAAAAGTTATAGTGAGTAAAATTGCAAGAAATAATTAAGTAAACGTTGTTTAGATATTGATATCTTTGATAAATAATATGAGACTAGTTAAGAGTTAATTTGGAAAGCTTAAAAGACAAAAAAATGATTACTATTATATAATATAAATTTAATAATTTAATATTTTTATATATTTTATAACTTGAATTGTTATTAAAATTTGTTTACTTTTTATTTATCATTAGAGTTTATTAATTTCAAGAAAGTATATTTATTCTAAATTAAGTATTATTAATAAAAGATTTCATATATATTTTAAAGATAATTATCATAATTATATTTAAGAGATATTTAAATGAATAGAATCTATTAATTTAGAATGAATATAATTTAATAAATATAATTATAAAATAATATTAATAATAATAATAAACAATTATGCCTGTACCTAATAGTTCATATCCAATACCCTTAAGAACAGTACTCAAAATAGCTCCAGTTTGTATGGTACTAACAACACTAGGAACTTTGTTGCCAGTTTGTTTATATGACATACTTTATCACTCACATGAAAGAATAGACAAATTCTTTTGGAGATCAAGCAGATTTGAGCGTTTTATTAGATGTAGAGACATGAAATTGCGTACATTTTGGTATGAAGCAATGGAATGGTAACCCAGTGGCAGAGAAAGCTTTATTTCTACTAGACCATAAGTAGCTGATCCTTGAGAGGAGTGAATAATCAAATATCATATAATAATAATGTTCATTATGTGTGTAATTTCTCATTTGCCCTAAATTTGAATCCATTAAAGTCCCATTTTGTATCTACTCTCTCTTGTTCTTCAATATGTGTACCTTATTCATCTACATATGCCAATTATATAACATCATGAGCTCTACAATCTCTACAGAATAACACCTAATAATATAAACTATTGATACTTTAAAACATTCTCTAATTACTTATTTTGCTTAATCAAGAGTACAATTCTCATTCCAATAATTACTTATGATAGCTTTACAGAAGTAACTTGCAAATCCAGTTGTAATAAAGTTTGATTCTAAATAGGTACCATAAATATCAACAAGTGCTAAATATCTTTCCCCATTATGGAATCCCTAAATTTTGAGAATTTAATACAGCTACAACATTCTATAAATACAATGGATTTATTTTGCATCTTTTTTTATATGACAATCTTGCTAAGAAATTACCATAATCTTTAGGTGAAGGATGAACTCCATCATCATATTATAAGGCTGATCTATCAATTTTTGCTAATTCCTTCACCACTTATTAGAAATCAGAAAATTCACCACTGGATGCATAGATTGTGTTTTTGGATATTTATGCAATCTTTTAAACATTTCTAAATTTATTAATCTCATTTCATACTTGAATGCTGCCATACTTCCATAACTACATAGAGTATCTGTCCCAACAATTACTCCTCCATTGTAAACCAAAGCAATAACACTACCTCCAGTTACAACTGGGGATGTTGTATGTTGTTATTGGCCTGAGATTTCAGAATTGAAAATCATGATGTATATATTTAAATAATTAATACTGAGGATGTATAATTAAATAAATGAAAAAATGATTTCTTAAGACATTTAACATTACTAATCAGATTGATGGTATAATCAATGTTAAAACTCTTATAATCAAAGAAATATTCTCATAAAGATTATTACTCAATATTTATTTGTATATATGGTTTTATATATGTATCTATTAATTATTTATATTTATTTCTTAAAATAAGATAATCATATCATTATGATTATTACAATATATTTAAATTTATATTATTTTTAAACATATTCAATTTATATGCAAAGTCAATTTTGAAGAAATAATCATTTTGAATTTTTATTTATTATTTTCAATTCGAATAGAATTAAATTACTATTATAATAATATATATTATTCCAATTTTTTCCACCTTTAGGACTGATAATATATATTGTCTATATTTTTAGAACTTAAATTATTTTTTAAAATGTGTTTGTTTTTTGATTCACTAGTTAAAGTATATTTTAATATTTTAATAGAATGATATTTTCTTTGATATCCAACAATATTATGTGTAAGTGAAGAGATCTTTAAACTATTGTTAATTTTAATTTAGACAATATTGGGGGAATATAGTATTTGATTTAACAGTTTCTTAAATTTTTAATAATTTTAATATTTTATTTTAAAATGGACTAGACTCATAAATCAATCATTACAGAAATCTTACCAAATACTAAGAGAACTCTTGAGAGGAGATAGAAGCAATTAGAGGAGGAATAGAAGAAGAAAAAAGAGGTTTCATTATAATTTATATAATTATTTAGTAAGAGACACAATAAAAAGAGTAAGCAGAAAAGTAAAAGAAATTCCAATAATATTTGATTGAATAAGAAAGAATTAAGAAATAAGAAGAAGATAGAAAAAAAGAAGAAGAAAAAAGAAGTTAAGAAGAAATATAATAAATGAATACATTAAAAGGTGAGTATGGTAATATGATGATTGATTTGGCTACTGGGGATTCTAAATTAGATTATACTATTTCAGGATTAGATCTGAGACCAACATAAATTAGAGTTTTAGTGAAGGTTACAGAAAATAATAATACATTAAAAGGTTTATCAATGAGTAGGAAACGTATAGGAGATGAAGAAGGATAAGAGATTGCAGCAAGTTTAGAAAAAAATATGGTGTTAGAAAGGTTGATATTCTAATCTATATTAGATTAGAATTAGAAGGTAACAATCTTGGACCAAAAACATTAGTTTCCATTTCAAAATTATTAGAAATCAATAAATCTATTCGAGTTATTGATTTAGAAAATAATAATTTAACAAATCATGACAAAGATAGAAATACTTATGATTATAGTGGAATATATGCTTTATGTGAAGCTATAGAAAAAAATGATACTCTTTTATAATTAAATCTATGTAATTGTAAACTAGATGAGAAATGTGGTGAAGCTTTGGCCAATGCTTTAAGAGATAATACAAGTTTAATTTGTTTAGATATTACTGAAAATCCAAAAATGAATTTAAATGATGTTAGAAAATGTTAGGATTATTTGATTAGAAATAAAAAGATTTATGATGATGAACGATATAGAGAATTTTAAGAGAGATAAAGAATTAGAAATGAAGATTAAACTTCTACTATTTAAATGTAAGATAAGGAAAAGACTATTACAGCTTAAGAGGGTATTGAATAAAGGTATATTAATTAATTGATTATATCTAGAATGAATGCTAGAAGATTAGAATTGGAATAAAATTGGAAAGAAGAATTAGAGAAGGAGGCTAAATTAAAAGAAAAAACTGTGCACAATTTAATGAAATAAGCTAAATTACTTGGAAAAAAGAAAGGTAAAGGAGGAGGTGCTAAAAAAAAGTGATAAATATAAATAAATTATTATTTAGTCATTTATTCACATTATTGAATTCAAATAGGACTTGAATGATTTTTAAGTTTCAATAAGAGAATTCAAGTTTTATTTGATTTTGCTTGATTTATTTTATAAGCTTTTTTTAGCCTAAAATTAAGGATTTTCTTATAGAATTTCTTCATAATCTTTATTTAATTTATTAAATTCAACCTAGTAAAATTATTGATGTGTCTCTAATAAAGTCATAGCATTTTATAATAAATTAAGAACTGGATCATTAACTTACTTTTAGGGAGAACATTTCTTTTAAACCATTTTTTATAAAATATTTTTGATAGTTTTTGTATGTATTGACTTTGAATCACTCATACTTTTCTAATTTAAACAAGAATTTGGCATTATTTATACATTATCCTCAAAATAAGTATCTTAAATATCAAGTGATTTATGATGAAAATGAAAGGTTCTGCTTGCAGGAACATGAATTGCAGATCGTGTCTTAGATTTACGATGCATTTTCACATAATCAACTAAATGCTTTATTTGATTATTTCTATGCTATCTTGCATCAATTTAAGAATCTTTAAGGGTTTATGAATATTTTTCAAGAAAAGTTAATTTAGAGCTCACAAATTCTAAACTTATTTAAGTTAGTTAGTCTAGCATAGCCATTATCTATTCGAAGTACATTTTATATTCTTCATCTAATTATGTTATTGAAGCCATTCTGTAATCGTTAAGTAAATTTAATTATTTTATTTTAGAATTTTTCTTACAAATAATAAATGTTTTTCACTTAATTATTTTCAGAGAAAATCTTCTATGTTAAATTAGATATAGTTTTGAAATTATAAATTTTAGATCAATATTCAATTCTATAATAATTATAATGGATATTATTCAAAATGGGTAAAATATACATATAAATTATGAAAAGAATCAATTATAAGTATAAATTAACAGTTAACAAATATTTTATGAATAATAATCATTTTATATTATTACTGAAAGATATTAAAAATAATTTAAAGAGTATACTTATTTCAATCTTTATAATCTTCATTCAATATTTAAAATTAAATAAAATGCAAGAAATAGATTTTGCGATTTAGTTTATTCAATTAAATAAAGAAATCCATAAAGATGCTTGATAATGATCTTAGATTCAATAACAGCCAAAATTTTAAGTTCAATTATGAAACTCAAAGATCTAATAGACATGAGAATATCAACAATTGAAAAATTAGAATTTTAACGTAAACCATATTCTAAGCAAGATGCATTCTATTTCATAACACCTTCAGATGATTCAGTAAATAGGTTAATAGATGATTTTAAAGAATAATTAATGTATAGAAAAATTAATGTAATATTTTCTTACAATTTACCTTAAAGATTATTGTAATAGATATTCAATCAAATTTAGCTAATCGTATTTTATAGATTAAAGAATTTAATCATCATCTTTACTTTCTTGATGATAATGTTTTCCATTTTGAAATTCCAAAAATATAATTTGATGATTAAATTTAAGTAGTTTAATTATTTTTATCTTCATTACCTTCAATGCGACCTTTTTAATCTATAAAATTGTCTACAATAAAAAATAATTAATTTTTATAATTGCTTGCTAATTGTCTTCCACGATTATTAGATAGATGGGATAGAACCAATTAAATGATTAAAGATGAAAGTGGAGAATTGCATTTCTTAATATTAGATCGTACATTTAAGATAATGATAAAATTAGATTAGTTTTAATAATTTTACTTACTGTATAGATGCCAGAATATGAACGTAAATAGATTCTTGATAAAATTACAGATATGAAACCATTTTATGGGTTATAAAAGTCAGGATTTAATTTGATATAATGAAATCTAATAGAATAACTAAAAATATCAATAAAGAATAAAGATTACTTGCTAAATAAAAATTAAGCCAAATGACTTTAGAACTATAAAGACATACTCCTGAAATTGAAAAAGTGTAAATGATCTTTTGAATGATAATAATAAATTTAATACAATCACTTTATATGGTTCAAATTAAATTTAAAATAGATAAGTGATTAATAAAGTTTGAGATAAAAGAAGGAAGAAAAAATAGAATAAATTAGTTTATGTATATTAATTTTAGGAGGAATCAGTCACTCTAAAATCTGTTCAATAAGAAATTATTATTCAAATATGTTAAAATAAGTATATATTGGTTCTACTTAAATAATAAGTCAATCATAATATTTAGATTAGTAAAGAAATTTGAGTTAATTATGATCATTCATATGTATATAGACTATCTCTATATTATTAAATACAATTATATTAACTATTTATACAATTTATATTTCTATTAATATACATTTAATTAATAATGATTGCTGAAATTATGCCTGATGTTTTTAAGAAATACTTTCCATTAATGTTATCCTTATTAGTACTATTCATATACTTTACATTTGTTTACTTTGTATTTATATAAATTTCAGAATGTATTGAAGAATATTAATTATTAGAAAGCATGATTGAATGGATATATGTATTTATAGGTACTTTTAGCATTCTTATGTTATTTTGGGCATTATTTTAAACATCAAGAATTGATCCAGGATTTATCCCTAAAAATATATTAACAGAATATAATGAAACAAGACAAAGAGATTATTGCTTATAATGTAGAATAAAAAGACCTGAAAGATCACATCATTGTTCTAGATGTAAAAGATGTGTTTTAAATATGGATCATCATTGTGTTTGGACATCTAATTGCATAGGTTTATATAATAGGAAATTCTTTATACTTATATTATTCTGGGGTTCAGTTGGTATGTTATAAGCCACATTACTTGGATTAACCAATATAATGACACTTTGGAATAGGATATGGGCATATGATTCATTAGATTTTAATAAAGTTAAAGCAGGATTCATATTTTTAATGACATTTTCATAATTCTTAAATGGATTTGGTTTATATTATTTTTTTTGGAGTAACTTCAAATTGATTACAATTAATATTTGTACACTTGATTAATTAATATTAGATACTGAAGCATAAACTAAAAGAAAATATGTAAAAATTTAATCTAATTTTATAAGCATGATGATCTAACTATTTATAATTTAGGATTTTGGTATAATTTTTAATTTTATTTTGGCAAAAATCCATTTTTTTGGTTTATACCAGTTGGAAAACCATTAGGTGATGGATATAATTGGGATAAGAAGGTTAGTTCAAGAGAGATGTCAGAAACAACTTTATAAATTATGGAATGATTATTAATTAATAGTTTTGTTCTCAATTTTAATAGTTTAATTTTAGGAATTATAATGTATATATATAATTTTCATTTAATACCTTACATGGCTAACTTAAATTCTTATATTTTTTTCTTAATTAATTTCTTCTTAGTTTAACCTAAATATTTATTAGCAAAAAATATTATGATATCTAAAAACAATAAATCTATAAGATTAGTAGTTATGTAAGATAGTATCTAATAAATTAATATGAAATTTATACAAAATCTGTTTAATCGCTTATCCAAAAGTATAAATACACACCTATGATAAAAGTGCTTGTTGTAAAAATGAACAATATGATTTTTATTAAATTTAATGTCAAAATGGATTTCATATATTCATAATATTTAAATTGTTTCTAAAACTTAATTTATATTCTTACTTTCCAGAACTCTTAATTTATTCTGCATATAATTACAGATGCTAGTAAAATGTAAATTTAAATATCATATTAAAAGTAAAAAATGGAGAGAATTTCTCCTACTATAAAACATATATTCCATTTTAGTATTATGAATTAGACTCTCTAATATCGACTAAAATAAAACTTACTCTAAAATATAATACTAGTAAGAAAATGATAATTCTAAATTATAAGAAATTGAGTACCCAAAAATAATTGAAATTAAATTTGTTTATCACTTTTTAATCAATATTTTGTACAGTTTCTTTTATACAATCATTTTCAGGATAGATTCTATTAGGAGATATTGGAGATGTAGGAGATGTAGGAGATATTGGAGATGGTAAATTATTATTAAACATCATCCTTACACTTTCAAATTTATTTAATTTTAAAACTTTACCAAACTTATTAGATTTAGCTATTTACTATTTATTTCCATATTATGATTTATAAATTACCAATGCTAATAAAATGAATTAAAAGAAATAAAATATAAATATGAAATTAGGCAATTTTAGATAAAATGGTGGAGTTCCTTAATATATAAATTGATAGTCATTACAAATTGTAACTGGTTCAATCATATTACAAATACAAAAATATGAATTATTTATTATTGATAAATAACAATTATCTTTAGTCCATTCATAAGTTTTAGCATTTCGACTTATACAAACTAAATTTGTAGTATCATTTTGAATTTCAAATTTATAAGTAATAGGTTTAGAAATTTTAATATTTTAATATCTATTTTATTATCTGATCTTATAATCATAGAGAGGATACTTTTAATTAGGATATGGATAATAACCATCATATGAATAAAAATTACTAATATAAATTGCTTACACTATATCATAATAATCTGTATTAACATCTTATTAGAGAAATCTATGACTACTTAAATTTTATAAATTATTTGATCTTTAAATTATTAAATTTACTGTACTCATAGATATTTCAAACTTTTCATTAGGTAATATTGCAAGAAAAGATAAATCAATTATGTGAATGAAAAAATCATTTAAATGATGCATTATTTGATAGATACTAGAATTAGAAATAGATAAAGCTTTATTCCATATAAATTCAGTACTTAGAATAGCATTACTAATATCTTATATACTTAAAATTTATCTTGTATCTATTTAAGAATATGAGAATTGATTCGTTTATTAGTATTACATATTTATTGAATATTAATTAATTTATTCCATCCTATTATTAAGATTGGTTATGTAATTCATTAATACCTTTAAACATTTATCAATACTTGTATTTGATATTATATCTTTATATTATTAAAAGTAAAGAATTGCCTAACTATATAATTTAAATTATTCATTATCTATTATATCTTTCACAATTAATGCTTACATACTTCTAAAAATTAAATCATTAGAATTCTCAAATTAAGTTTTATCTCCACTACAATCATTAAAATAATAACCTGGTGGACAACGACATTTTTAATCTACACAAGTACCAACTCCTGAACATTATTTCAAACAAACTTATTTATCTTCCTAATTAATTAGTGATATCATAGTGTGTATACTCTGTAAACTTGAAAAATTAACTAAATTGCCAAGATCTTCAAATAAGGTATGCATTTCATAGTTTCTTCTTTAAACAATTATCTATGTCCATTAAAATATTAATGCACCTTGATTAGATTCAATTTAACAAACAATCCAAATAGGATCATCAGAAATTCCACTTGGAATCTAAAATTAACCTGAAGTAATTTAAGTGTTAAAAATTAAAGGAATACCATTTAATAAAGATTTAGCATCTATATCATTTTTAAAAGTATAATAATCAACATAATAATAAATACTAGCAATTTAATCACTATTTAAATTATCAATTGTATAATTAAAATAATCCATAGATTAACCAATTTTAGGTTCAATAGAAAATGTAAATATATTTGGTATTTCATTTATTTTAAATCCAAAAGAGTCAGTTCCAGGAACTAAATATATGAAAATTGGATGTGTAGAATCTTATGTAATTTCAGCAATTCTAAATTTTAATGAAGCATTAGATATCTTAATGTATTAAAGTACTTTGTGATTTTATATAATAAAAGCATATGTTTGAGATTTCTTTAATAAAATAGTAACTTCACTATTTAAATTTATCAAATCTGTTGGTTAATCTCTATTGATTACAAATTCTTCTTAGATATTTAAATCTAATAACACAATTAATTATTCTTTAATAGTCCATCTATTATCTTTTGAGGCTTTAACATAAAAAACAAATGTTGAATTTTGAGAGTTAGCCTAAATATTAATGATTCTTCTTTATGCAAATTCAAGTATTTTATTTTCTTCAGTTTTGCATGGTTGAAGATCATGTAGATTAGTGCATAACCATTAATAATGAATATCTTTTGTACTTAAAATTATGTCTTATATATTTTTATCATAAGCTCTTGCATTAATTTAGTCATCCTAACCAATAAATCTATTTTTTTATAGAAAAGATATTTCTATTGGTTTTGATTTTAAAATTAGAACTTCCTGAATAATATAGCTTTGTGTTATAGCAATGAAAAGTAGAGGTACTTATTTAGGTAGAAGTATTTCATCTAAGGGAATTTTACGGATAGAATGTATTGATTATTTTATAGAAATATATTTTTGATCTGATATTAATGAATCTAATATGTCAATTTATACATTTTAATCACTTAGTATATCTGAAAAAGTAATGTGACAATCAAATATATAAATATTAACAGTTAAAGGATTGTAAGTTAGATAAATATAAGGAGTTTGAATAGGAATGGTATTGAAAGTAAATGTTGTATAATTAACTCTTTGAAACATATTGATATATTTTGCTGTAATTGTATATTTTAAATTAGGTTATAAGGTATTTATAGGTATAATAATTTCATTCTTTTATGTAGCTAAAAATGAATCCATTGATAAATAATAATCTTCATTATCTATTGAATGTAATTACCAAGATATTACTGTTTATATTTTTTATGCTGTTCCTTAGATTAAAATTTATTTAATTTCAATTTATTTACAACTACTAACATATTATGGAACATCAAATATAATGTATGGTTTAATAAATCTATTTGGTTCTAATAATTTATTTTCTATGAATTATTTTATATACTATTAAGAACAGATTCCTTAATCTACATCTCTGTAAAATGATTATTTAAATTATAATTCATCTCCTATATTAATAGTTGAATATGGAGATAATTATATATGTAATGAATATCTATTCCATGCTAAATAGCATTTTGAATTCTATCCAAAAATAATTGAATTATCAAACCATAAAGAACAATCTGAAGGTTAAAATGGATTAATTAAATTGACAGATACTAAATAACCAAAATATACAACTATTTCATTAAGATCATCTGAGTAATATATTTTAACTTTAGCTACTTCACATGTAATACACCAATCATCATTTAATTTTCTATCACAATTACATTTTGGAATTTAAAGATTATTTTTACAAATCTAACAATTTTGATATGATATACATTCTTCACAAGGACATTTCTGACAATTTTCTTATAATTCATCATCATAATAACCTTTTTAACAAGAACAATCAATAGAATTTCTATTAGTTCCTCTACATTTAACACATTAAATTTAATTTATACAAGTTTAACATTTATGTAAACATTTTTAACAATTTTACTCATTTTTAAAATAACCTTTAGGACATTCTCCTAAACAATATCCATTTTCATTTAAATTGTATAAATTTGCACAATTAATACAATTATTATTCCCATAAGTATAACATTTATTACATTCTATTGAACAAGCTAAACAATTATTTTTTTCTTTATATTATTAATCATCACATTGTAAAACACATTTATAATTCTGAATATCATGTAAATATTCATTTGGACATTAAAATAAACATTAATTTTAGTAAATAAATGTGGTAGGAGGACATTCATTTGAACATTTATTATTAATTGGATTGGAAAATGATTAATCTAGACAAGATTCTAAACATTAATTTTGGAATAGATAATATCCAATTTTACATTAGATACACACAAATTGATTTTAACAACTGAAACATTAATATGGACATTGTTCACAGATGAAGTCTTTTGAACCATAATAACCATCAGGACATTTTATAACACAAATAGATTCAAATTAAAAGGTGTCAATTGGACATTTTTAATAGCATATATTTTTGTATAAGAATGAATCACAAATTTCAACACACTTTTTAGTTTTTAAATCTTTTATGTTTGTACATTAGTTATCACATTAGTTATCTTCTAGATAATAATTAATATCACATTCTGTACAATAGTCTAAATCATTACAAGCTAGACACTCAAATTTACAATGTTTGCAAATGTTATTTCCATAATAACCTTTAGGACATTATTCTAAACACATATTTTAATGTGTAATTAAATTGCAAGTAGATAGACAAGTGTAATTTCTGATAAAAGTATTAGGAGGACACATAGATACACAAATACGATTAACAGTATCTTCATATGGTAATTATAATGGACAATTTAGAACACATTATCCAT